GGTACAGAGAAGGGAGCAGCAGGTTTGGGGGTACCCGGGGGATGGAGGTGCAGAGAAAGGACAGGCAGGGATGGGGGTACAGAGAGGGGAACAGCAGGTTTGGGGATACAAAGAAGGAAAGAGCAGGTTTGGGGGTGCCGGGGGATGAGGGTGCAGAAAAGGGAGCAGCAGGTTTGGGGGTGCAGAGAAGGGAGTAGCAGGTTTGGGGATGCCGGGGCATGGCACAGAGCGGGTTTGGGGGTGCAGAGAAGGAAGCAGCAGGTTTGGGGGTGCCGGGGGATGGCACCCAGCGGGTTTGGGGGTGCCGGGGGATGGCACCCAGCCGGTCTGGGGGTGCCGCACGGCGGAGTTTGCGCGGGCAATGTCTGCGAAGCCGCGCAGAGGAGCGGCAGCTCCGCGTGTGCCCGGCCGGGACCTCCCGGCGCACGGCCGCAGCGGAGCGGGGGGAGCAGCGCTCCGGAGCTCCAGAGCCACCTCCCCGCTCCGTGTCCGGCTGGAATGGAGCGGGGTCCTGCTGGAAGGGCGGCGGGGGCTGTGTGTGACTTACCGCGGGCGCGGGGCTCGGGCCGCAGGAGCCAGCCCGGGCCGAGCAGCAGCAGCAGCAGCGCGGGGAGCCGGGCCGGGGGCAGCGCACGGGGGGAGCGCGGCTGCGCTGCCTGGAGGCGCTTTGACATCGCAGCCCAGACTGAGGGAGACAAACTTTCATCAGCTGGGGCTGGAGAGCAGCCCCATAATATACAGTTACCGAGAGGAGCGAGCCGGGACTCAGGATGTGAGAGATTTCCTGCATGCAGTTAACTCCAAAACCCCTCCTGCTCCTGCCTCAGCTGCTGATGAGCTGGGCTCGGCTGCTTAGGGAAAAAAAAAATAAAAAAAAAAGAAGAGGAGTAGGAGAGGAGTTGGAGTTTTTTTCTTTACTCTTTCTTTTTTTTCCCGCCCCTTATTTAGGTTTGTGTCGGCTATTTCATAATTTTTTGTTGTTGTTGTTATTTTGGCAAGGACCAAACCTAATCCTGCACCCCTGGAACATCTGAGCCCCGCGGCCTCCCCTCTGCAGGGTCCCAGTCCTGGGGGGCTCCGGAGTCCCCCCTCCCATCCCTCCCTCCCATCCCTGCTCCCGGAGTTTTTCCTTTTCCTTTTTTTATTTTTATTTTATTTTTTACTCCACACACAAGCCTGCCTGCCGCCTCTGGAAAGTCATCTGTGTGCGTTAGAGCTCAGGGGTTCTTTATTGGTTTCATAATTATTTCAGAGTTGTTTCTGATGTTGTTTCTTATTTTATATTGTGGGGGTTTTGAAAGAAGGGGAAAAAGAACAAAAAAAGAAAACAAACAACAAAACACACCCACAGAGTTGCCAGATGCATTTTTTAAAATCTCCCTTATTCAAATGATTATTACTGACTGTCTGGGAAATAACCAAATACAGATTATCTACTCCTTAATGTACCACCAAAACACATGTAATGCCCACATGTTGCTGTGGAGTAGAAGAAAAAAAAATAATCTAATTCTGAAGATCTTCACAGACTTTTATTGTGCAGTTTTGAGCTTTAATTTACTAAGATTCTTCCCAAATCTCACAGTCTGGATGTTGACACTGAATTCTGCAGCTTGGCTCCATGTTCCTTGTGCATGAAACCGTTGGCAGAAGAGTTCTGAGATGTCTGTAGGCCAGCAGGCATAAGAGCCTTGCAATCCCACTGAAAAATGGTGTTTGGAAGCACAGATTTGGGGCTGTCCTGGAGCAGAGGATGCTGATTATTCCCAGTGATCCAGACTATACTTTTCACCAGCTTTGGGGATAAATGAGCCAGAAATTCCAGGGGTACAACCTCTGTGCTTCCCAAACTGGAGCCTGGCACGCTGCCCTGGCAGCATCACTGAGCCATGCAGGGCTAAATGTGGTGATGCCAGGTCACCCCAGCACAAATAAACCTGGAAAAGGGCTGAGATCATGAAGAATGTGCAGGAAGGGCTCTCATCAACTGCTGTGCTTCACACTTAAAAAGCATTTTTCACCTCTTACCCCTCTGCCCAAACCAGACCCACGGAGTCACCTCCAGCTGCTCTGAAATTTGAATTTTGTCGACACTTGCACCTCAAGCCTCACCTCACATTTTCCTCATGGTGTGTATTCCCTCTCCTTGGGAGCAATCAGGGATTAGCCTATGTGTAACTTTAAATAACCAAATGCTAAATTTTCCCTACTTGGCCATTATCAGTTAAATTTAACAGCTCCACTCAGCAATGTTTCATCCCTCAAATATAAACTAATGAACTGCATCTACTCTCTCATTAAGGACATATGTGCTCCACACAGAACATTGCTTAAAAACATTAAAATTCAAAACTTCTTTGTGGAAGGCCACCATAAAAGCCACATAGACATCTTTAGTCTTTGGAGGTATTTTTCCTATTAAAATGAAGGGAAAAAAAAAATCAGTTAAAGGGAAGTAAAGACTTGTAAATAGGGTTTTGGTAATCCCACAAGGCTTTTCTTTACAGTGGTACTACTTTTGTCTGAGTAACAATATTTGCTAACAGAGAATGTGGAGCCAATTATATCTTGGTCATTCATTAGCATGAATGAAGTAGATATTATCAGAGTTTCTCCTCCTCCCCCCAAAAGGAATTGTTGCCTTTTAACATTCTAATTTTATGGGCTTGAAGTAGATAAATCAATAATTTATCACAAAAGAGCACCAGATACTTTATTAACAATGTCAGTGTAGGAATGCTCCTGAATTACAGCTGCTACTGGAGAGCAACAGCACAATTTCACCTCAGTTTCAAAATTCTCTTGAAAAAAAAGACCCTCCAGGCACAGGGCAGGTGTTGGGAAGTGCCCCTGTTTCACTGGGATGTGCAGGGAGAGGCCAGGCCTGGCCTTTTAATTCCTCATGTCAAAGCACAGTCTTACAAGGCTTGGTTTATCTGCTTCAGAAGAACAAAGCTGGGCTTCCCCACAGGAAATGAAAATTGCATCTGGGCTGTGGGGCTGCTTCAAAGGGGGCCACAGCCCCGATTCTCCAGGTTATTCCCATGGGCCATGGCTCTCCATCCATCCATCCATCATCCATCCATCATCCATCATCCATCCATCATCCATCCATCCATCATCCATCCATCCATCCATC